CCCGCCTACAGTTAGTCAATTTTTCCACAAATTTTCCTTCTCCTAGCTCAGTATCAAAATTCCAACCATTTGAAATTGCCTCTAGTAATCCTTCCTTCCCAATCCATCTCTTGTCAAACCTGAAATTTTTTTTCCCACGTAGTTCCTTATCCATAATCGTAGCTACCACCAGAGAGTGGTCGGAAGCTACCATTGGTAAATATTCAACGAAAGAATTGCAGAATAATTCATGCCAATCTTCGTTTGCTAAAGCTCTATCCAATCGGCACCGTATTGGTTTTTTATCCCGCCAACCCCGCCAAGACAACCAATCTCCAATATATGGAAATTCCAAAAGACCGCAATTTTGAATCATTAAATTAAAAGGGATAAAAGAAGATGCATGCCTTAATTTACCACCTCTTTTTTTCATGATTTCCGGTTAATTCATTAAAATCACCTACTAAAAACCAAGGGTTATCTCGAGTCAAACCGATTCTTGTTAAACGTTCCCAAACTTGTTCTCTATTTTTCGGAACCGGATCTCCGTAAACAAAGGTAAGATTTATTGTCTTACCCTTTACCACAGCTTCAATATCAATTAACCGATTACTTTCATAAATAATTGAAACATTAAAATCATTATTGTAATAAAGAGCTAAACCACCACTATAACCGATAGGATCAACCGTTTTTAAAATTTTATAACCAAAATGAGAGATCTTTGTAATCATATAATTAATTTGGTATTAATGGTTGTCATCTCGTCGAACGAGTGAATGGTATGATAAATATACATATTAAAAATTAAAAAATTTTATAATTGAGAGTGTAAATCTTGCTATTCACTCTTAATTTAGATAAATGATTTCATAAATTTTTATCTCATCTTTTGTTATTAATTATTATTAATTCATATATATTTTGTTGTTTGTTGTTACTTATATTTGTAATAGGATAGTGATTAGGTTGGTTTAAGGGGTAATTTGGTGATAAACATTTTTTTAGCAAAACCTGAAAAGTGTTTCTGACTTTAACGAAAGGTGAAAATAAAACTTGAAAGCGACTATTTAATGAAAAATGTCCCTTATAATTTGGAAAAACTAAGAAATCTACCACATTTCCCCCAATTATTTCCAAATCTACCACATTTTCAACTTCATTTCCAATCCTACCACATTTGATATGGGAAGTTACTATTTTGCCCTCTCTTTCTCTTTCTTTTTTTTTGTCATCTGGTAGAAATTTTATTAAAGATCCGAAGAGCCATAATACAAACCATAACACAAAGTCGGCGATTAACAATGTAATCCCGAAAACTAAGCCGGCGGAAAACAAACATATCCCCGGAAACTAAGCCGGCGGTTAACAACACAACCCCGGAAACTATGTCCAAAGACATGAGAACCTTTTTAGCTAACACCAAAAGGCAAAGCAAACCAAAACAAACAATGGCAACAAAGAAAAAAACTGAAACATGGACAGCAAACAAAGGAAAATCGGAATCTAACCACACAACAACATCAACCGCAAAGCCTAAAGAGAGGAGAGCCTTCCACGAATGTCACCGAAAGGGATGAAAATCCCAACTAACGGAGAGTGATTCCACCTATAGCGGATGAAGACTACCACACAAAGCAAGGGTTCTGAAGAAATCCGAACGGCGAGACGGGATCTAGGCCAAAAGACATCGTAGACCACAACAGAGCTCCCGAACACGGTGCAATCGAAGGAAACCGATTATTTAACGCCTCGTAGATTCCAATAACGAACTGATGAGATCTCAATCAGATCTATAACGTAGAGACAAGGAGCGAACCCAAACAACCCGGACCATACCGAAATCACTAAAAATCGGCAAGAGATCGAACCGGGATGAACAAAGGCAATCTCTAGCAAAGCCAAAAGCGGATGAACGACGAGGAGGCAAGACCACAAAAGACCGATACCAATGGAGCTACCACATACAGAAACATCTAACACAACCAAAGAGCAAACCCAAAAAATGGTCGGACAAGGAGGAAAAGGGCAACAAACCGCAAGAAACGATGAGACAAACCAAACCCCAGATCTCCCTTCAAAGTCAAAGCAGCCTTACCATGAGCAAGAGACTTTAGACAGAACCTCAATACCACCTCCGCACCTCATCACCGAGGCATCAAAGAGAGACAGCACAAGAGAGGAACAAAGAAACACAGATCTGGGTTAAAACCGGCGAAACCCAACCTCAACGCCTTCAGCACCACCCCTGGACTCCATGGCTGAGACCCAAGCTGCCCTTAAAGTCCCCGCCGAAACAAACAGAGAATTCAACAAGAGAGGAACCACCGATGAAAACAAAGAGCAACTTCGATGGCCCTAGCGCAGCAAACAAAGGCAAATAGAGAGCAAGAGGTAAAAAGAGAGGCTTAACTCCGGTGCTATAGAAGCCACCGGAGCCAAACGGAGCTGCCAAACCCTAGATGTTGTTTTTAGAGAGAAGGGAGAGAGAAGGAAGAGAGAAGTTATCTTTGCATATTTGAACTCTCTCTTTCTCTTTCTCTTTATGTTTATTTTTTAAATTTTTTTATTTCATTTTCTTTCTCTCACTCTTTTTCTCTCTCACATTATTTTTTCTTTCTCTCACTTATAGATATATATATATATATATGTATATATATGAAGTTTTCTTCTTCTTTTTCTTTTCACATGATTTTTTCTCTCCTACAAAATATAAATCTGGGTTTGAAAATAGTTTATTAGTTATATAGTTTTGGTCCACGACATTAAATCGGCTACACATTTAGATCTGAGTTTCTTCTCATATGAACTTGTCCCCAATCTAATTTTATTACTCATTTGATCTGAACTTATCCTCGATCTAATTCTGGTACTCATTCGATATTACTCATTCAAAATCTTAATTTGGGTTTGAAAATAGTTTATCAATTATATAGTTTTGGTCCACGACGTTAAATCGGCTACACATCTAGATCTGAGTTTCTTCTCATATGAACTTGTCCTCGATCTAATTCTATTACTCATTTGATCTGAACTTGTCCTCGATCTAATTCTGGTACTCATTCGATATGAACTTGTCCCCAATCTAATTATATTACTTATTCCATATGAACTTGTCCTCGATATAATTATATTACTCATTCGATCTGAACTTGTCCATGATCTACTTTTATTACTCATTCGATATGAACTTGTCCTTGATCTAATTCTATTACTTATTCGATATGAACTTATCCCCGATCTGATTCTATTACTCATTCGATCTGAACTTGTCCCCGATCTAATTATATTACTCATTCCTATGAACTTGTCCCCGATATAATTATACTACTCATTCGATCTGAACTTGTCCCCGATCTAATTATGTTACTCATTCTATATGAACTTGTCCCCGATTTTAATTTAATATTGTCTAATATATTAAGAGAGCAATTGTAAACGTGCAGCATTAAATGCAGACTGCTCCCTCTTGTCCCAAGTTGTCTCTTTTTCTGACACACACTTCTCTCTCTATCAAGGGCAATTTCGTCCGGCTTTAGGCATGTGGCAACAAAATGTGGTACATTTGGAAAGCTTTTCCCAAATGTGGTAGATTTGGAATGTCACATTTCAAAATGTGGTAGATTTGGAATGTCACATTTCAAAATGTGGTAGATTTAGCCAAATTCCCTTATAATTTGGGATAATGTGTTGTTATTTTATTAACTAGATTATGTAACTGCGCATTGCGCCGGTTTTAGTTTAAATTTTTTTATCAATGCGAATCTTTTAATTTTCTTTACTCATTTTCTTTATCTTGCCATAGTAGTAAATATTTTTTCACATTTTTTACTACAATTTTTCTTTTTATCTTCTATGATTCACTCGTCGTTTCCCGACATCTACTCTCTTTTCACCTACAATATTGGCTCACATATAATATACTCGACTATAATTAGTTATCAAGATAGATCGTATATATTTTCTCATTCATATTTTCAATACTCAAATTTTTTTTTATAAGTTGCATGATCTTTTTATTAAAGTGAACATTAGTCATAAATTTTTTTGGTCCATGTAAAATTGCTTTATAGACAACAAATCTCATATATGGACTGATTCCTTTTCACAAACATCGATTTTGAACATCAAATTTTCCACTTTATCTTGACCGTTTGAAAAATACAAATAACAAATTTACATATATAATTTGACGTATATTATGATTCTATATAGTATTTTTAATGTTGATTTTCGTAAAATTCGTAACTTACGAACTCATATAAATCATTCTAATTTTTAAAATACATTTTTATAATCCTTAATTTTAACTTCTTATTAAAACTCTTCAATATACCATTACTATTCTAATTTCCAAATAGCATTCGCAAATATTATTATTACACCGTTTCTATTCGACCGGAT